GGGGGGGGGGCGCACCCCCAGCCAGTCTCTTTCCCCTGCCTGGTGATTGTCTCTTTTTCTGTGTGGTTTTCTGAGAAGCAATCCCATTCCAGGCACATCCCGTTTTCCTGGCACAAGCAAACCCTGACATTGTTCAAGTTATGATCAGAAGAAGCTGCCTACCGAATTTGGTAGAATTTCTTACCATTTAAGCGACGTTCGGGGGGGGGGCGCACCCCCAGCCAGTCTCTTTCCCCTGCCTGGTGATTGTCTCTTTTTCTGTGTGGTTTTCTGAGAAGCAATCCCATTCCAGGCACATCCCGTTTTCCTGGCACAAGCAAACCCTGACATTGTTCAAGTTATGATCAGAAGAAGCTGCCTACCGAATTTGGTAGAATTTCTTACCATTTAAGCGACGTTCTTGAACAGACAGACACACAGACAGGCAGACGCTCTCAAATATGTAGTAGATACACACCTTGAGCGGAAAATAACTTTGTTTAGATTTTCTTTTTCTTTCCTCTGAGTAGGCCAGGCCTTCCGTGAACAGTGTCACTGTAGCAGAATGTCACTGCAGTGTCACTGTAGCAGAATTTAAAAAATGGAGGTTATCTATCCTCATGCTTCAGGGTGAAACACTTCTGCCATTGTGGGTCAGGCAGGAGACTGCACCATTGGATGGCTATGAATAACATAGATGTGTCACAGGGCTTTCCATCTTCCTCTGAAGTATCAGATCATGTTGAGTGCTGGATGGGCTTCATCTGACCCAGAGGGGAGGAGGGCTGTCAGATAAAAAGGCTTGGTGGTCTAATCCAATACCAGTAAATGGCCCACTGGGCTGTGAATTTGTAAGGCCTTCCCCACTTTGTCTGCCTCTGTTTTTAGTCCCGTGTTACGCCTGATTCTTGATGAGCACTGAGCACCTGGAGCTTCTGCCATCAGAAGACGCAGGTGCTCAGCCCGTCCCCCAAGTCACGCTCGAGGTGTCTGCAGGTGGGCAGGCAAACAGAGGCAGCCTGCATCCGGGGCCAGCTTTTGGGAACGCTGGGTGACTGCGCTACCAGGGAAGGAGGCTGTTCTGTAGTGTGCTGGGCTCTTGCATGCTGCTGCTGGTGGTGGCTTGACCTGGAAAGCTTGCGATGGTGCGCGGTCCGCCTGTCACTAACACCTAGCACCCGAGCGCTAACCCCGTGTCGTAGGCAGGCTCCTCCCCTTCCTTGATTTTTCCCTTCCTTGTTCCTTACCCTCATCTTCCAAACAATAACCGATTGAAATGCAAGCCCGGAGCGAGAGTGCAATGGCACATGGATTGACACTGTTCCCCCTTCCATCTGTCTTTTCCTACCCAGAATTCCCCTCCACCCCGCCTCCAAACGATGACCGCAAATCGGTGGCGCAGCCGAACATCCCCACGGCCGTGATTGGGGGCGTGGTGGGCGGCGTCTTGCTGGTCCTGGTGGTGGCCGTGGTGCTCTTTGTGGTGCTCCGGCGCCGGCGTCACACCTTCAAGGGCGACTACAGCACAAAGAAGCACGTGTACGGCAACGGGTACAGCAAGGCGGGCGTCCCGCAGCACCACCCGCCCCTGGCCCAGAACCTGCAGTACCCCGACGACTCGGACGACGAGAAGAAGCCGGGCCCGCTCGGGGGCAGCAGCTACGAGGACGAGGAGGAGGACGCCGGAGGCGAGCGCAAGCCGGGCCTGGCCAACAAGTACGAGGATGACGCCAAGCAGCCTTACTTCACGGCCCACACGGAGCCCTACGGCGAAAGGACACTCGGTTTCCAGTACGACCCTGAGCAGCTCGACCTGGCTGAGAACATGGTCTCCCAGAACGACGGATCTTTTATTTCCAAAAAAGAGTGGTACGTGAGGACGCCGGAGGCGAGCGCAAGCCGGGCCTGGCCAACAAGTACGAGGATGACGCCAAGCAGCCTTACTTCACGGCCCACACGGAGCCCTACGGCGAAAGGACACTCGGTTTCCAGTACGACCCTGAGCAGCTCGACCTGGCTGAGAACATGGTCTCCCAGAACGACGGATCTTTTATTTCCAAAAAAGAGTGGTACGTGTAGCTGGTAGCTTTACTTATGGTTTGTTTTTTGGGGGGGAGGGGGGAGATTGTTGTTTTTGTTTTGTTTTGTTTTTTTAATTTCTCCAAGGACTTTGTCCCCTTCTGTGGTGTTTGTATTGATCAGTGGCTTAGGTGTTACTATTTGCTTTAATTACTACTGCCCACCCTTGTATAATATGCCCCGTTTGTGTCTTAGTATCTCGAATTGCCCTTCCTCAAAGATCCCTCCGACATCCATGCCCCCCGAAACACTGGAATTTGTTTGTATATTGTCTTATTGGGGGGGGGGAGTGGAGGGAATTTATGGAGAGGGCAAAAAAAGGAGGACCAAGGAGGGGAAAAGCACAAGGCAATGAAGACCTAGATGCCATATCAGATTTTTTTTTCTTTGTGTTGGTTTTTTTTGGTGGTGTTTCCATTACCCACAATCAGTGTTCCCTGGAAGCTGAGCACTTGGGCAGCTGCACAGGATTGATTCAAATGCCACCCAACTAGTAACATGTGTTTCTACTAGTGGTGCACATCCGCACATGCCTCGGTGCATTTAACAAAATTTATTCCGCATGTAAAAAAACAAGTTAGAGGGAACACTGCCTTTAACAAAATTTATTCTGCATGTAAAAAAACAAGTTAGAGGGAACACTGCTCACAATGTACCTGTGATGAACGAGCCTAGGTGCTAAGTGTGTAAAAAAACAAATAAGAATCAAAGGAAATTAAGCAAAATCCAAGGTGCGTGGGGAACTGGAGCTGCCCTTTTCCTCCTACAATTTATTATCCTTTTTCAGTATTTAAAAACAAACCAACAAAAAGAAAAGAGAAAGGGGAAAATCCCTGGCTGCGTGTGAGGTCACTGATCACTGCTGGGAGTTCCATGTTGTTTAAAGATGGGAGGGATTTTTAGTGCCAGCTGAGGAGGTGTTAATTTCACCCTCTTTCTGACACACACTGCGTCCTCTGCACGTACCTCCCTGTCACCGTGATGGAAACGGTTCTATGAAACACCCCTGCGCCCTGCCCGCACACATGCTGCCGGTTGGCCTGGCGCCGCCCAACCAAGTGGGCTGTTTCTCTAGGGGGCCCCCAACGCCGTTTGGAATCAAGGGGGACCTTTGCATTGACTTCAGTGGGCATCGGGCCAAGCCCTTTGTATTTAAATTGCTAGGTCTTGTCAGTCATCCGTTTACATCCTTCCCCTTGTGAGAGTGTTGCCAGCCACCTCTCCCCGAGGAGTGGCCCCTGCACTAAGAGCCTACATTGGATGTCCTCTTTGGAGGATGATAGGCCAAGGGCTGCTGGACCCTTGTGCCTTGAACTCCCCTCCCCCCCTAGAGATGTGGGGGGGCGGTTGGAGGGAAGCGTGGATTGCTGCTACTCCTGCCCTTCTGTGGCTCACTAGGATGTCAGCCGCCAGGCTGGGAGTCTAACACTGACCTTCCCCCAGGCATTTGTTCTTTCGGTTCCTTTATTAAATGGCAACATGCATCTTCTATTGAAAAATAAACCACCGTTTTCAGGGGTGTATTGTAATGTGTTTAATTCTCCCCCAGTGCCATACACGGCTTTCATGCCATAGACATTCCCAGCGGCCCTACGGGACCACTGGGCAGCCGAACAGAGCCGAGGACCTTTTGGAATAATCCAAAGCAAAATGTGAAATCCTGCTTCAGCCAGACTGTGTTCCAAAGTCAGCCCCACAGTTTCTGGCTTGAGTCGGGTCGAGTCGCAGACTATTCCCGGATTGATTCTGTCACTCTGGAGGCGGGGAATGGGAAATCACATCATTCTGTTGTCATTGTTCTGGCGTTTCCTGGTGGAAGCACCAGGAGAGTGGCTGTTCTTGGCCTGCTCCTGTCCCCATCCAGAGCAGGTTGTGCGGGAGATCTTGGGAGAGACTCTGCAGAGATTCAGGTCAAGGGGTTCAGAGAAGCTGCTAAACCTTAGGGAGCCCGTCCATCGCTGATGGGGGAGTCCATACACAGGAGGCCAAATCCCACACTCACTTCAACATAGGGTTTTGGGGATCTCAGGTTTCTTTTTTCTGTACTACTGAGCAAATGCCCCATCAAGGAAATGAAATCCCCAGTGTGTGTCTGATTCAGTACCGATTGAAAGAGGGTGCTGTAAACCAGCAAACCCAAAGGCAGTCAAGACTTCTCCCTGTCCTGCCTAGCAGCACATAGAAGAATGGGCCCCCCATGATCTGAGACTGCCAGCACATGGTGGACACACAGGGACCCTGAGATAAAGATGGAGAAGAGGAAGTGACATCATCCTCTTGCTTGATCTGCCAGTCACTGATCCTCCTGCAAGCTCGCTGACATGGAGGGTGGTCCAGTGGTTCTGTACTGTAGGGTGTATCCTGCATTGGAGATAGGCCCCAGCTGGGCTTTTGGAGCTGAATCTGACTCCAAAAAGGGCCAGCCCCAAAATCCCAGATCCATGCTAACCACATAGTCTGACTTTCAGAGTCCAGCTGCAGGTGTGGATTTGGCAGCTCGGGCTCACCTCCGAAGGTATCCGCTCACACCGTTGAGCCAAAACTTCATGCAAAATTCCGAGGCCCAGTTGAGTTGCCCGGGTGTCCTGGATTAACACCCCCAAGCAGCAGGCGTCCCCCACCCCACAATCCCACAGAGCTGAATCGAAGGAGTCCCAGTGCCTAAGAGCAATACACCCTGTTGGTGGATTCTCTGATGCAATGAATCCCTAGTCGTCCTGTTTCTTCCCTTCCTGGTCAGCTATCTTGGCCACATAGAGCAGGATAGTCAGTCCCTCCTGATGAAATCTCTGTTTACAGCCGGGGGGACGGACAAATTCTCAGTGTTGGGAGCAGGGGATGCGGTAGAGCAGTTGGATTTGACTCCTCTTTGGGGTGTATTTTGGGAGTCGTGTGTCTGTATGTGAAAGGGACAGGTCCGCTGTTTCCAAGCGACTAAGTTGATGGGTGGGGGGCGTGTTCCCTCTGCAAGCGGGGTGCAAAGGTGAAAGGAGGAGACGTGCCCTCGCTTTTCATTTGCACGCTAGCGTGCAGAAGGAAACTTCATCACCGCAGCCGTGCACGTGCCCTTTTCTAGACCCACGTGTCCATGGGAACTGAGCAGAGGCAGGCGGGTGTCTGGTGTGCACACACGCAGGCGGGAGGAGTGGTGGTGTGAGGCAGGGAGCTTCTATTGACACACCCAGAGGGCTGGCCTGCTCGTTAGTTAATGATCCAGAGGTGTGTGAGTGAAGACTTTCACCCCCGTGGGCAAATCAAGGGCTCTTTACAATAGGGGGGAGGGCAGATGGGTAGCAATGCAGGGTGAGGGGGGAAATGAGTTTGCAACCTGCGGCAGCGAGCAAGCCGGCCCAGGGAAATAAATGTGATAGATCATAGGCGGGTGGGGTGGTGCTGGGGGGTTCGAGGGGGAGACAGAGTGATGATTAGTGACGTCACTATGGTACTACCCCCCCTCCCAGGGGTCAGTTGCTCATTTACCCACACGCTGGGTGTGAGTCAGAGATCCCAAGGCCGGCAGGGGCCACTGTGATCTTCTAGTGTGGTCTCCTTCATAACACGGGCCGGAGACCTGCCCCCCAAATCACCCTAAAGCCGACATGTAGCCAGGGATGGAGAATCCATGACCCTGGTGAATTGCTCCCAGGGCTAGTTTCTCACCATTACGCCTTGTGCCCAGTCTGAATTGGTCCAGCTTCAGCATCCGGCCATTGCGTCAGGGTAGCCTCTCTGTTGCCATGACTACACCCAGGCCAAGATAAATGAGGAGGGGGGAAAACGTTCCCCAACCAGAGCCCTGCCAGTGTGGCTAGGAGTTCTCGTCCCCGCCGACCCAAGCAGGGCCCACCTGTTCCACTAGCAGCTCCCCTGGTCACTAGCCCCTCAGGCTGGGGAGCTACACCTCACAGCTGCTCATTCTCCTGCATGCCGCTGGCTTCCCTCGTCCCCAGCGTGTGCCGCCAGGGTTAGGCCTCTGTCTGACGGTCACGGGGAACCAGGGCGCCTAGCTCCATCCCCCTCCTCGTGCCTCTCAGAAGGATGCGTCTGGCTCTCGTTACCGAAAGGGTGACCCTTTATGAGCTCAGGTAATTGGACAAGAGGCCCTCGCAGGGCCTTAATTAGCGGGGCTAAACGATTCGCCGTTAATCTATAGCGAGGAATAAGATGCCTCGTGAAAAATTATGGATTGACAATTTGTCAGAGAGCTGCTGGGATACAGTAACGACATCCAGGCCCTCTGTGGGGTTAATCGCCGTCCCTGGGTCATGCTTGCGGGGGGGGGCGTATGCTCCCCTAATGAGGCAGTCGCAGCAGGAAGCGGAGTTGCGCTCTGGGGGGAGCGGCAAAGGGGGCAACTACCCCAGAGCCTAGAGATTCAAAAGCACCTAGAGCTCCTGGCTGCCACTCTGGGCCCTTTAAGTCACTGCTGGGACCCTGAGGACAGCCTGGGGGAGCCTAGCCCTAGCCCCGCCCTTTCTGGGGAGGGGGAACAGGACCCTGCCCCCCAGCAGGGCCCGGCAAGGCTGCTAGCCCCAGTGCTCCTTCTAGTCCTTCATAGCCAGGCCCTGGTTCTGCGTCTGGATCACGAGCAAACCATGTGGCGACTGGGTCTGTCTCGGGCAGCACCTCCTCCCACATTTAGCAAGGGCCCTCTGAGCTGCTCCCAGACTCCAGGAAGGGAATTTCCCAGGTGAGAACGCAGGCCGCCTACCCTGGGAGAATGCCAGGACGATACATTGGGTACTCCACTGCTCAGTATTACAGAGGGAGGGCGTCTAATTTCCAGTGGGGATCTAGGGCTGCCTGTCCTTCCAGCTCCAATGATTTCCTGGCTAGGGTTGCCAGGTGGTTTCAACAAAAATACTGGACACACTGGACATCCCAATCCACATCACAGCGTATTTAGAACATACCGGACACATGGGACGTGACATCACAATCCCACATTACATCTTATTTAGAACATACCGGACACACGGGACGTGACATCACAATCCACATCACAGCGTATTTAGAACATACCAGACACACGGGACATAGCATCACAATCCCACATTACATCTTATTTAGAACATACCGGACAGTTCTATTTTCTCAATTTGTTTCCTGAACAGAAAGTTCAAATACTGGACTGTCCAGTTCAAAACCGGACCCCTGGCAACCCTACTCCTGGCTGCCCAGTGAGTTTCTACGGGGCCAGTGGCTGAGTTGGGAGGGAAATCAACCTGCCCTGTCCCTTCCCAAGCCTCCTTCTTCCCCTTCTATCCACACTCTCCTCGACTTACCCCCAGGACGGACTGTTAAGCTCTAGAGCTGAGGGACTCAGAAACTGCATTCTGCTGCTCCGGGGGGATCCCACTGACCAAGAGCGAGCCGGCAACCTTGCTCAGGAGCTGGTCAGTGGCACTGGTTTTGCATGGCTTCCAAATTTGCTGGAGCCACTTCTCCAGGGCACTGGCTGCAGGCACGGGTAGCTCTGTGAGTCAGGGCCAGCCTGCCCCGAAGCGCACAAGAAAGAACACCCACCTAGGAAATGCAGGGGAAGAGGCAGATGTGCCCTAGATTTTGGCCAGACCGGAAGGGACCTGTATGTGCATAAATCCCAGATCCTTCACAGCAGGGGCCACGGTCTCCTTCATTCTCACACACCCATGCTATGAGTTTTATTCCCACATTCTGGAGCTTGCTAACGATATCTGTGCAGCCCCAGCCAGTCCTGGGGAAGGGGGGATCCCGGGAAAGTCCACCGGGAGAAGGGATTGTTAGTACCAGGCATGGAAATGGGCACAGAGGCTAGAGACAAGCATCCACGGCCCTGATGTGATAGCTCAAGAATATTCTCCATGCTGCTGCGGAATCACCATGAGAAGGTGAGCACAACCGGATGGAAGGGTGACACCAGATTACACAGCTACGGGGGGTTGCTCCTCGGTCAGGAGGTAGCTCACAGTCGGAAGGAAGCTATTCAGCAGAGCTGCTTTCCTTCTCACAGCGAGCGGCTTGCCGGCAGACATGTCTCCTCCTGCACACTAAATTGAGTCTGTATTATTTGTATGAAAACGCCCCAGCTGTTTTCCTGCTGGGGCTTATCTCTGGGATTATCCATCACAATTCACCCCAGTGATGTTATTTTCCCTGATTTAATTACCAGATTGTTTGGTGGCTTGTTTCTTTGTTTTTGTAAATCAGTTTTATTCAAGTCAGAAAAAAAAAAACCCAAACCAAAACAAAAAACTCCATCGGAAGTTTTCTGTAAGGAAAAACAAACAAACAAACCCCCAAATGCTCGAGCAGAAGTGGTTGCAGAGACGGCAGGCCCAGCGGAGCCTTTCCTGGCTCATCCTTGAAAGAAACACACCCATTGCTCAGCCCAGATCACTGAGGGAGAAAGAGTCAGTGTAGCAATTAGAGACAGGAGAATGATTAGAATGAGGGGCCACTGACTCCTTCATTCTCACGCACACATGCAATGAGTCTCACGGTCTCAGCTTGCCAGCCAGTCAGTTGGGGGAGAAGTTGCCACTGAGTTTTGTAGGTGGACAAGTTTGTAGCATGTGAGCGGGGCTGCCCAAAAC